CTCCTTCTTGTATTTCCTTTTGTTCTGCATCACAGCTGCTCTGTTCATGTTCTTTTTCAGGTATGTTGCTAGTATATCTATTTATGTTTGTAAAGATTATTTTAAACAGCATTTCTAAGAGCTTACTTGATTTTTGGTATTCATCTGAAAACTTGCATATTCTCAACTCAAGCTTTCTGAATTGCATGGAGTGCTTCCGTGGCATTAAAAACCCAGTGCTGTGAACGTAATTAGGCTAAAAAGGGAAATGCTGAGTTAAACGCTTTAAGTCTTCTGGAGATTATACCGATTATTTAAGAACCCTCCTCTCATCTCATCAAATGGCTGAAATACTTTGGATGTCAAGTTCTTAAATAGCTTACGGCAGGGGAGATAACATTTTTTCTTCTGGTGAAAATAGAGAAGAACAGGAAAATGAGATTTTACAGTCTTAAATCATATCAAATGTTTGACGTGTGCAGGTGCAACTACCTTCTTTTAATTTTAGAGTAAACTAGTTTCACATGTGTTTTCACAAGTTATCAGTTGTAATCCTTTTTATAAAACATACAGTAGTGGGGTCGGATGAGACACTCATTTTAATAGCTTTTCTCTCTCTCGGTTTGCAAGATATATGTTATAAGTCATTTAACTTGTCATTGTTTCCCTTTCAAATACCAGACCTCTCAAATTTTCTTTATTATATCTCAAGCTGGAAAATTGCTTACTAAAGTAACCTTTGACTTCAACCCTTTGACTTAGAATTTTTTGTGGCATGTAGCCATCTATGGTTCTTCAAGCCGTATGATCCCCTGGTAGTTGCAAAACTCTGGAAGCTGCAGCTTGTTTTTTCGTAATTCCATTACTTGCGAATTACTTACGGATATTGGCCAAGAACGGTCTGTGGCTAAGGGAAAGCTATTAATTTAAAGGATTCGAAGAAGCATTCCTCCTTTCATCTACCACCTATTAAGGCAGGCAGTCTTCTCCTTGTTTTATTTTCTCCTACTTCCCAGAGTCATGGCATAACAACCTTGGAGAATTTGACTTGTAAGGTTGAAGTTAGACACCTGTCTGTATGAATGCTGGTAAACCAGCCCAAAACAGTAAAATGCCGGTCAAAACTAGAAATGTGTGATTTTGGGGGAAGCTAATTGTCTCCTGTTTATGTCTTTGGTGATGGAGCACTGTTTTAGAGACAACCTGGAAGGTAAATGAGCACTGACCAAGAGGTATTTGGTGAATTCCTCCCTGACCTGACACAGCAACGCTGACAGTTGAATGGCCTCCAAACCATTTTCTCTTCTAAAATTAGTCCCTCTGTGCCAGGCTTGAAAGTTATCCTGTTGAGCAATCATCAGCAGCATTTCATTTCTTTGTCTCTGGTGTTGTAACAGAGGAACTAAAGCACTGGACCAGGAGGTTATAGGTCCATTAGTGTAATTCTCAGGAAAAAAGAAAAAATAATAATTTTTGATTGTAAATATGAACAAAACCAGTAAATCAAAGATTTATCAAAAAATAATTAGCACAGACCATTTTTTTTTTTTTTAATGTAGTTGGTGTTGCGATTAGAACTTCTTCAACGTGATTCACGTGATACTTTCCTAAAGTAACTTGGTATGGATGGTCTGTGTGAAAATACCTTCGGGTAAGCACAGAACCCCCAGGATAATATGTGGACAAAGTTGTTGTCAGGGGTTGCCCGTCAGACAGAGGATGTATTGGCTGTGTTGACAAGCACCCACTCAGGTCCTCCATTGTTTAATATTTTTGTATTTAAATAACAACAAAAATAAGAGTGAAAATGGTTATTACATGTGTAGGTAAGACTGCTGGCTGGGAACTGCAGTCACTTTGCAGAAGAGACTTGGGAGTCAGAAAGACGCACACTGGAGCTGTGATCTGAGGAACTATAAAGCTCCTTAGTAATGACAGGGTTGAGGTAACACGTTTACAGATAAGGAGCTGTGGGGAATCAAATGGTTTCAGAACAGTTCACTGAAAAAAGACCCAGCAGTAGTTGTCGCATGCTGCCAGCTGAGTGTAAGTGAGCAGCGTCACATTCCTGTAACAAGGGAGACGCTGTGACGAGATGAATAGAGCTTGTGAGGTACATAAAATTGTCTTTTTGTTGTACTTAAACTTTAAAAAGTTCTCTGCATTTTTGTGTCCTTTTTGATTATTACACATGAAGAAGGATACGGAAGAGGAGGAGAAACCTCAGTGGAGTTTGGAAAATGTGGTTTATTTAAAAGGATGGATGGTGGTTGTTTAATTTTAAAAAAATAAATAAGAGATGGAATAACGGTCTTCATGTAGGTACAAGACTGCTGAAAAGAGAAAGAGACTAAAGAGTCTGTTCTCACTGGCTGTGGTAGAAAGGATAAGAGATAACAGAGCAAGACATTCCTTCTTACAATAATAAACTGCAGCACAGATGAATTCATTTAGATAGTAAGGAAGGCAATCTTGAGAAAGAAGCGGTGAAAAGATTCCCTGGTGAGGCTAGAGATTGTCTAGCCTTTCAGATCTGTAGGAACAGATTTTGGAGGATATAGGCATTCCCACTCAGGGAATGGAATATTTGACTTCCTCAGTCTCTCCCACTTTTTTGGTACACATCAATGGCTGTCATATTGTGAAATATTTGATGTAATAAGCTGTCAAAGACAGTGGCCAGTGAAGTCTTTGGAGGAGGATAACCTTGCTGTGCTTTGTTGAATGTGACTTGAAAGATATCCCTGGAAAAAAATTCCAAATGACAACTCTGTGCTGTAGAAATCGCCACGTCTTGTAAAATGTATGGAGTGGGGACAGGAGGGCAGGGAACATTTTGGCATTCCACGGGGGCAGGGGCATCCCTGAATATTCATAGAGGGAGAAATGTGACTCTTCTACCACACTGGATTGAAAGTGCTGTCCCAGAATTTTTAATCATAAAAATATAATAGGAGAGGAACAACTAGTCAGGAAGAAGACAGATGACAGAGAGGTCACTCGATCAGTCCTCAGAGTTTTTGTCGAGTTTGTCGGCTGGGATCGTGAGTTCGTCGTTGTCTTATCCCATATGTGAGTTCATCATTGGTTCGGTAAGATTTTGAACCACCATTGGAGGAATCCTCTATGGATCTATCCAGAGCCCTGAGGGAGGCAATCTTCTCCATTGTTATCTAAAATAGAAAAGAATTGGGAGAGTCATTAAACTGCATTTCCTCTGTTTAATGATCCAAAATCACTTCAGCCTTTTCCTGATCATGAGCAGATCAAACTGACAAAATTGTGTGACAATTGCAGTACTTTCAGAAAAGTCTCAGAAAGACACCTTATCCAAATTCAGATCTGCTTGGTTTGTAGAATATTTTCCCATTGACTATAAAATGCTGTTCACTGCTAGTAAGCATTTATTGACACTCTTAAAGATGACTTTTTGTCCTCCCCACCCCACCCAAATTTCCTAAAAGGTGCGTAAGAGCAGTAGCACTTTTGGGCACCAAGATCATGTGTAATCCCTTTTATCGTTAAAGATAAAATCCTAATATCTAAATGGTGTAATCTGTAGTTTAAAACCTCTCTGAAAAGGGAGTTAATGTCAGCATAGCTACCAAAATACGACTGATGCTTGAGAGTCAAACGACACAAGGAGTAGAAGAAAAGTAGTCTTTGTTTTCTGAGTTCATATAAATCGCCTTATCTGAGGCTGTTGTTCAGTTTTCTGAATGATGAAGTGATTAATGTCCCCAGTCAGTCGCTCTGGTTGGCACTAGCATTCCTGGCGCCTCCAGGGTTAACTGAATTTAGCCACTATTTTTGCTGTGTGTAGTTTTGAGCTGGATCATTTTCCTCGCGCAGCTCGTACCGCCATGCGATCGCTGGCATCGGTGCTGTGAGCCAGCGGGGGTAAGTGATGGGGATAAGCGTGGAAAGCAGAGATGCTCTTCAGCATTCACATGGGTTTTTGTCATTTTAAAGTGACTGCACACCAGCTGGCTTAAGGTACTTTTTGCTGAACCTATGACATGAAAAGTTATTTGGGTTGGGAAGTTCAAAACTGTCTTATTTGTGGTGGAATTAAGGTATATTCTATAAATCACGCCACTTTCAGGTATCTTTCATGTTGCCCTGTTGTTAACAGCCTGTTAAGTTGGGCTTGTTTGGTATTGCTTCTGGAAGACAAGTGCTCTGGTTTATAATTGTCCACTAAAAGAGAACAAAATCAATATGCCACGTAACTGTAGCATGATCATACCTTTCCCTTGATGTGGGCACTTTCCTACCCACATGGCTAAGAAATAGCGCTGTAAAAGGTGTATGAATCTTGGTCTATGGATGTATAGGCAAGTTCTCAATTTATTTGTCTATTTCCTTTTCTAGAGTGATGAATTTTCTCAGTATCTCCTTGTAGTGCCTCTCTTGAATTAGTTTCAAAACAAATTCTGTAACGGTCCTTTGGCCAGGCAGTTATGATTTGCCGATGCTTCTCTCTGACTGCCAACCCTTACACATCCCATTTCTGCCTCCAAGGCAGCAGAAAGGCTCAAAAGCCAGTGTAACGGATCTGAGGTGTTTATCATTTAAAAAAAAAAAAAAAAGGAAATATTCAGATAATCTTCCTATCATTTGGTATAGAAAAGCTTTCTCCAATTGTAAAATGAATGCTACTCTCTGTTGGAAGGCTTTGTCCTCACATCGTGTTGACGTCCTACCCCTGATTCCTATGACAGATGTTTCGCACTAGTGGAAAACTTCCCCAAGCAGCCTTGATATTTATCACTGGGGTTTCCCCAAAAATCTGTTGGACTGTTCAAATGTTATTGCATCTACTACAGGACAACAAGAAAAAGAAGATGCTAAAACTCCAGAGTTAAGAAGTGAAGTTACTGAATTGAAATGGTAGAAGAGAAACCAGGAATAATTACTCCAGAATAGATAAAGTGAGAAGAAGGGAATCAAAATGAAACAAAAATTCAGAAGAACAATATAGAAAGGAAGACAGCAGGAAGAGGGAGGAAGAGAGTGGCTGAAGAGGGGAAAAAATAAGATCATGTCCGCAGACAGGACAAAAAATAGAAGAATATACT